CCCCAAAACCCCAAAACCCCAAAACCCCTCAAGCTAGTTTGAAGAATATTGAGTAAAAATTAAACTTGCAATTATGATCAAATGTATTTTAAGAATGCTTTAGAGATGGCATAAATCATCTAGCTGTTCTGATTCCTTCTGTTGATGCATTAGTGCTAAAATTAATGCGCTCTATAAGTTGGTCTTCCTCTTGAATTGGTACTAGATGGATTTGATCTTGTATTTAATTAGAGCCAGTATCGTAATCATCGAAAATATTAGTACTCACTGTGTCAATTAAGTCTAAGCTTACCAAAGTTCTAGTCCTCCTCAAATCAGGGCTAGCTTTTTAAGATAAGAGTTGAATATTGGATTACTTCTTTAATAATTATTCAACATCAGATTAAGATCTTTCCTTGATATGAGGGAGGTTTATTATGTTTGAATTTTCGTCATTTTTTCTATCACATAACAATCTAAGCTTATTCCTTTTTTTATCTTAATATTTAAGCACACCTACTTATTTATTTACTCTATTTACTGTCAAGATAAGATTTGTTCTTTTATCTGTCAAATCTATTGAATCTTTTTTATCCAAAAGTATTAGCAGTTAGTTAACTATATTGTTATCTTTACTCAACTTTTCATCTTCAATTTACTTTTATAATTATTCAATAGTCATTTACTATTCGTTGATTTAAGACTATAATTTTTTTAGTTCCTCTAATTTCTCTTCATCATTATTTTATATTAAGTCCTCTGATAGCATACTGATCTATGATGTATCAAAGATAGAAGATTGAAGATACTCTTTCTGCTCTTCTAATTTTTCATGAAGGCTTATCATTTACTCTTCAATTCTTACTTACTACTCTTACCTTATTTTTATTTTTTCTCCAATTAATAATGAAATATCAAGTTTGTCAGATTATTAAAATCCACATTTCTGTTGCTAAATCTATTTTCTAAGTTTTTAATTTTCATTTTTTAGCTGATTATTTTCTTGAATTAAAAGTTCTATCTAGCTTTACTTTGGGGCACTCTCAGGATCAAAATCAATATAAGATTGTGATTAGTTTGTAATGATTCTCCCATTAAGAAGCTTCTATGTTATCTCTATGTTATTATAATCAGGAAGAGTATTGAAATTATCCTCATCATGTTACTAATCTTACTCAATTGAAACCAGACTAGCTCCAATATTATCAAGATATGACAACTAAAGCTGCTTTTAATTCAAAGTTTCTTCACCATCTTCTTAGGATGAGTTCAGCTCTTGAAGCTGACTTAAAAATGAGCTTTACTTTAAAAAATCCTTTGAGATATCTTTATTAGTAATTTAAAGAATAGAGTAGCTAGTATCTTTGCTTTGAGAAGTATTTATAACCTGATTAGTATAACATTATAGCTGCTACTTTATCAAGCTAGAAATCAACTTAAAATTCTTATGATTACTATTGTTTGAATTTCCCATGTTGAAGTTATTGACCATAATCTGATTGCCTTGCTGCTTATTATTTCCTGTAAATATTTGAAATTACTGAATTTATGATTAGTCTTGAGAAAGGGTAAATACTGAATTAGAACTGTCCAGCACTAGCTCGTTTTAGTGCTTTTGCTCAGCGAATGTGTCATTTTGAATGTTATGAAATAAAGGTTGATGTATTAGATTTGTAGCTAAATGCAAATTGGGAGCAGAAGTTGAACTTTGAATCAAGTTTTAGAGTTGAGTTTGTTGTGTTTAGGAGTAACTGAGATTTGATTGCTAGGAAGTGATGAAACTTTGAAGAGTTGAGACTTATGAATTCATAATTAAGTAATTTTCTTTATTAATTTAAATTTAAACAAATATAAAATCAACTGACTAATTTAGTCTAGCTAGTGATAATAATTTTTCAATATTCTTCTATTTCACATTTAATTGTTCTGTTAATTGCTTAAAAATGACTTTTGCTATCTATGAGTCAGTTTATCTTATGGGATAGCTGACATTGGCATCATTTCAACAAAAGATGGAGTATTTTCAAGGTACTCTCCAAGTATTCCATATACAAATTGGATCCATTCCTCTTTAGTCTTGATATTTTGCTTATTGTAAGAGAAGTAGCATCTGATTTACGCAGTTGTCTTTCCATCATTATGCTTTTATATGAATGTCTTTGTATGCATAATCTTGCCTTGATTTTGAGAGAGCAAATTCTGCATTGATTGGTTAAAAATTATTAATGCTTCATCCAAGTATTCCTCCTACTTTATATTTATTCTAACAAAAGCATGAGAAAAGCTTAATTTATTTGAGTAGAATGTTTGCATTGTTAAAATTAACTTTTTTAATTATATTTTTTATTAATGCTGAAAATAAGATTTAATAGGTATTGCGGGGTTTTGGGGTTTTGGGGTTTTGGGG